TTCTGCTTAGGGAAGTCCTTACTTTTTTGACATTACTAACAGTTTTGCCATAGACTTAAATCAGATGAGGACTTCACTCTCTGCCTAATGCAGTACTTAATATCCAGGCATTTTGTTCAGCTTCCAAATGCTGAGACTTTAATTAACATTTCCTACAAATTCTTCGTTAGGCTTCTATCCATCTGTTATCCCACTAATATCCCTGATAATGTCTCACAGTAACTCCCTAAGCTACAATGTGAAGTTGAGCAATGAGCTGCAATATAGGGAGTAAACTTTTCTCAGGACACCCTACAGCAGTGCATGGCACTGTCATCCAAGTTGAACAGATGTGGAGAGGTACCTCCACACATCCCTGTGCAGTTCCTTTCAGAAGAGAATAACAAAAGTCACAAAAGTAATGCAGCTGCCTGGTCGTGGTCACCAAAACCATGTCTGTTAGTTTAGGGACAGCCATGTGGTAATGCACTTGCATTGCTCTGTTAAAAAAAAAAAAAAAAATCTGTCTTGGTGCTTGCTGGGATATTTCTGTTCTACCATACTGTAGAATATGTATGCTTTAAATAGAAAGTATGTTCACCATCTATCTTTTTAATATGATGCTCTGCTGATTTTTGTGATATATCCTGTTTTGAAGGGCTTTTTTCTTTTTTTTTGTGAACTGAAAAGTTGTGCCGGGATTACTGAAAGCACTCAAAAGTCTGGAAATGAATGTATGTGAAAAGAACAACTTGTTATTTGAATAAGTTTGCCTGAAGGGGAATTGCTAAACTTTTACTAAAATTCCGTTCCCTTCCTTCATGTTAATTAAATTAAAGCTTAGGGGGAGACCATAATATAGTAGTGTGATATATCTGGGATGCAACTGAAGAAACAAGAAGTCATCTTATCTCCCTTGGCTTGTCTGTCTTTTTACTGAAGCTTTGAGATTTCATTTATAATAATGAACTGCTTTTATTCAGAACTCTGCATTTCTACCAAACGAAATGAAGAGCACTTTGACAGGAAATGCAAGTTGCATAATCTTTGCAGGAGCCCATGACTGAATCCGTGCTTCATTCTTCATTCTGCTGCTTGATATGGCATCAGATTTCTTCTTCTGTCTTGAAATCTAGAGAAGGGCCACTAAGATGATCAGAGGGCTGGAGCACCTCTCCTATGAGGAAAGGTTAAGGGAGTTTGGCTTGTTAATCTTGGAGAAGAGAAGACTTAAGGGAGACTGCATTGCAGTCTTCAGTACTTGAAGGGAGCTTACAAGCAGGAGGGGGACCAACTTTTTATGTTGTATGATAGGGACAGGGCAAGGAGAAATAGCTTTAAACTAAAAGAGAGGAAATTTAGGTTAGATTTTTTTTTTTTAACGCAGAGTGTGGTGAGCTGCCGGAGCAGGTTGCCCAGAGAAGCTGTGGTTGCTCCATCTCTGGAGGCATTCTAGGGCAGGATGGGATCCAGTGCAGCCTGAAGTGATGGCTGGCAATCCTGTCATGGCAGGTCAGTTGGAACTAGATGATTTAAGGTCCCCTCCAACCTAAGCCATTCTATGATTCTACGAATCAGTATTCTCAAGCAGCAGTTAACACAATAGCAGTAGTTTTCCTGCTTTTTCGTTGATTCGCACAATTGGAAGCAGTGACTTCTGGCTCTTCTGTGCTGGGCCACATGCAGGCACAGCAGGAGGCCCTTGGCTCCTCTGACTCATTTGGTGTCCAAACAACTGCTCCTCACCCCCTTGTCGGAAGAACCAATGGGCAGAAAGAAATATTTTGCAGGCCAGACCTGGCTAACAGGCCATGAACTGGAGCAATCTGATCAAAATACATATTTAATTGAGGCTTGTTTCTTGAATTTCTGGCATGAAATAGAGCACATGCTTTTCTGGTTTAGAGTGACCGTATCAAGTTTTGCATGTTTCAGTTTATGAACGCTTCAGTAATATTTAATGTCACTCAGATTTTCCACGGGTTTCTTAGTCCCATGTGAGGTCAGGAATGCGTACTTCAGATGGTCCTCAAGCAGACCTGAGTGCATTGTATGGCATTCGTGCAATTTATGACTGTAGTCACATCAGCCGTGGTCATTTCTGGGAAAACTGTACTTTGCTTGTTTGCTTTTGCTTTGTTTGCTTGTTTTCACAGAATCACAGAATTGCCAGGGTTGGAAGGGACTTCAAGGATCATGAATCTCCAACCCCCCTGCCACACGCAGGGCCACCAACCATTCCACCTAATGCTAGACCAGACTGCCCAGGGCCCCATCCAATCTGGCCTTGAACACCTCCAGGGACGGGGCATCCACAACCTCCCTGGGCAGCCTGTTCCAGTACCTCACCACTCTCTGTAAAGAATTTCCCCCTGACGTCCAAACAGAACGTTGCCAACAAAATGTTGGCTTTAAGTCTGTATATAGCAATGAAAGTGTTTCATGTGTGAAATGCAAGAAATTGCCCTCAGGGCTGTGTTTATGCCCTAAGTGCCTTTCAGGAGTGATTCTCCAAATTTTACCAGCTAGGCAGGGTCTGTTTAGGGCACATGTATCGGCGGTATGCCAGGACTGGCAGTGGGCTTCAGTGGCTGTGCTTGGTAATTCAGTACAGAGTTTGATCTTCTTGCCCAACAAATCACACACAGATACACATCAGAGACCCATAACATTCATAGACTTATCTCAAAATTTCCCTGGACCAAATTCCTGTCAGAGTATTTACCTATTTTTCTACATTGCCCCTGCTGTTTATTTAAATAAGAGATGCCATTTTACCTCTTCAAGTTGAACAATAGTGCAATATGGAGAAGATCTCTTAAAAAAGCTACTGCTGCAGTGTCCTTCAGCAGTGCTCCCATTTCATTTGTGGAAGATAAACCCTTGGTAAGCAAATGGGAAATGAAGTTTTATGTAACAGGAATCATTTCATGAGAAGACATTAAAATTCTGTTTATACTTTATGCACACATCCAGTTAAGTTTTTCTTGGCCCCATTATGCAAATGAATTCATCTGTCCTAACTCAGGAATTAATTAGTTTTTCTAGTATTCTCATCATGCTGGTACTAACATACTAACACTGAAAGAGTTTTAGATTCTCCAAGATAACGTTTGTAGAATACTGTTCTGACTTCAAAACATAAAGACTGAAATAGGAATAAGCATATTTAGGGATTGATGAGTTATGAAATTATACTAATCTGTAACTATTACTGGCACTTGTGATGCATTCTGATACTAGGTGTGATAGGCTGACTGTCTTCCTCTCTCCATTTAGAACACCAGGAGCCAAGGAGGAGATTATAAGACAGAGTATAGATAGGGATAAGACCCTTTACCTCCAAATCCATCAGAACATAGATATGTAAACATCTTCAGATAAGTCATTTTAGAATAAGGAGCCTAACAAAGCATCAAGATGTCAGCAGTAGTAGAGTTCTGGAAGAAATTTTTCCAAAAGGATTATGTTAGCTGCTCAGACAAGATACAGTCTTTAATGGTCAGAGGCCAAGGATCAAACCACAGATCTGAAAGAAAGAGAATCAGACTGTATGACATTACATTACAACTAAAAGCCAGCCCTCAATAGGAAAGAAACAGATAGGAATTGGAAGACATTTTGGGGGAAAAGTGACATTTTAGTAGTATATATATGAATCAGAATTCATAAGTTGGAGCTTTTTTCTGGAGTCATGCCAAAGGTTGATCGCAGTCAGCCTTACTGTGAGTTGCTGCACTGCTGAACACAGTGCAGGTCCCACTGGTTACCTAAAATGTGTTGATCCAGTAATCTCCTGGATGTGTAGATGTGTAGTTCTCCTACACAGAATGCATCTTGACTAGATTTGCTGTTTGAGTTCTCTCACTGTTCGAGTTTCTCATTTGTAAAGGTGAATCTATGACTGAAGTCAGAAGATGCACTAGGTATTACATAGATAGAATAAGGCTTATATGAATCTTACTTCCAGCAGAGCCCTGGGCAGCCTGGTCTAGCATGTGGCAACCCTGCCTATGGCGTGGGGGTTGGAGCTAGATGACCTTTAAGGGCTCTTTCAACCCAAGCCATTCAGTGCTTCTATCATGATTCTATGATTCTGTGATGATTCTATTAGAAAAATTACAGTCATATATTTTGATTATCTATGGGCGACCTTGGTCAGACTTCAACAGTATAGCAGCAATTTGGAAATTGAAGCTGAGAAGATGTCTAAAGACCCATTTTGAATTATAGTTGGCTGACTTTTCAGCAGTCTTTGAAATACTCAAAATTGGTTGGAAATGGGACTCAGTCTCCTAAGTGCTTTTTAAAAGCAATTAGACAAAAGTGTTGTAAAACTGAGGGGCATGAGTTAAAGGGGTACAGCTCAGTGTCTTTTTTTCCCTCTTCACATCATGTTTGGGGTAGATCACATTGTCAAGAGTCTATGAAATGAAGGAGTAGACAGATTTTAATTCATTACTTTTGAATGCTGCAAGATGGATATATGTCACCTCTTCTTTATTCCTTGGAAGCCTTTGAAAAGCATAATGAGAAGCCAGGAAAAATAGATTTTCATACCCCTTTGTCCATCTCAGTTGTTTCTGATATTCAAGAGATGAACATTCTAGACAGAGTTAGCCAAACTCTTTGTGCTCCTGCATATGGCCCACCAACTTGTTATTGTTTCCAATGCAGCACTTTCTTTGTCCTCTAATACCAGACATAAAGGGTAGAAAAGGCAGTCATAATTTAGTCATCTCCACCAGTTTAATTAAAGCAGGCTTGTTTAATCATGGAAATCATGCCAAGAAATTTTATCTGGCATAATTTTTTGTACCACCTGTATATTGGTTTCTCTCCACAGTCCTCATTCACACAAAGCTTTCCAGGAAAAAGCTTTTCATAGTTTGCATCCCAAGAAAAATAAAAAAAACTGAAACAAATTTTTTCAGAGTTTTAATTCCAGCCTACTTCTTCTTCCCTTTCTCCGTAGACTTTAGCAGCTTTCTCTAAAAGTGTTCTTTTTGCTTTTCTTGCAGACTGTACGTGGATGGACCTTTTGGAAGTCCCTTTGAGGAATCCTTGAACTATGAAGTCAGCCTCTGCGTGGCTGGTGGTATTGGAGTTACACCATTTGCATCAGTACTCAACGCTCTGCTGTAAGTGAACTTAAACTTTGTAAAACCATTTCTTCTCCCTTACCCACCAATTTACCATAATAGTACATGTCAGAAGTGTTCTCAGAGTATTTCAAAACTTAGCATAGCACAAGTGAATGTTTCCTTGAAGAGGGGCAGAGGACTAGGGTATATGGGAGCGTTAGTAATCTCATGGGTTATGTAAACCAGAGTTTGGCAGAGTTGTGCTACTAATGCACATCAACTGGACAATAGCATAATATTTATATCCTTACACTAGATAGACTATGATTGATGCTTGCTATAACCACAGACCCTTCAGCTAGATTTGTTGCCCAGTATCTGCTTAGAGGAAGCTGTGGACTGTGATAGAGTCGCTTTTTCAGTCAGTAGTTTATGACAGTCTTTCCAGCTGGAAGTGTAGGCCAACTCTCATGTTTTGTTTGAATTTTGTAAGTGTGCACCCTTAGGGTTTTAAAGGAATGGACTTGACATGGATTCAGATAGTGTTTGGATTTTAACTCTATCTGAAAATTTAAAAATTTAGGTACGCCTTTTTCTTTACTTTCTTCCCTCTGTATTAAATTAAAACCTTTGAAATTCTCTTCAAACCAAACCTTTCATCTCTTGCTTCTCTGTCACACTGGCAACATGGATCCCCCAAAACGTTACACTGCATGAAGTGGGCTTGTTTTTATGATTGTTGATGTTTTTTTTATTTTTATTTTTTGCTGGAATGTTAGCTCAGATCTTCAGTCACTTAAGAACCCTGGTTTCACACCACAGCCAGTCAAAGCAGCAGTCCTTCCCTGAAGTCTTAGAAGGCTGGATGGCTTTGGGAATGCTTTACAGTACACATCTGAAGCATTTGTACTAAGATGGACGTGCCAGTGTCCAATTCTAACACAAAAGTGAAATTAAAACCTGGATTTAAATGCCATGTTGTTCTTCCGTCCTTGATCTGAGCTGGACCTGCCAATGCTGAGCACTTCTGAAAATGAGCAACCCCATCTGTCTCATAGTGCATCCCTATGAGTCTATCTTGGGCCCCTTCATTTTCTTTCTCTATCAGTATATTGAACATCTTCTCAAAGAGAGAAAAACTGTGAAATGTGAGTACAGTTTTTCTTAAAGCTTACAGTCCAGAGGAGTAAGCTGCCCATTTTGCTGACCTTTTTCCTTGGGATGGTTTATTCTTGACAGTGTTTAGTAAAAAAGTCACAGATCATAAATGATAGGACAACAGCAGGTAATGAGATGGCTGCCTCTAGCAGTGTGTTATTAGATGCTATAAGAACTCGTGCAGATACTTAGCATCCAAAAACTTTAGCAGTCTGTTCTTTTGGTTAAAGCCATAAATAGATTTCCAAACAGCCCATCCTATAACCTGACTTTGTAGCCCATCTTCCTCTTGTGCACTGTAACATTATGCAGAGGAATAATTCTGTAATTCCAGAAAAAAAAAAACAACAAACACTCTCAACCTGCTTTCATTCTCAATATTTAAACATCAACAACAAAACACCAGTGTCCTGGACGAGTTGCCTATTGTCATTGCCCTGGCTGAGAAGAACTTGGCAGGTGTGAAAATGCAAACTGCCTTAGGATGCCAGCGCTGCAGAGCAGCAAGGCCAGTCCTGTGGTGTCAAGGACATGCAGACCTCAGAGAGATCAGAATCCTGTCAAGCAGGAAAGTCGTTTGTTTCCTGCTCAATTATGTTCCTGTTCTATGAGCACAATTTAATTCCTGTCCTTCCCTGCACTTGACTCTTGAACCCTACACCCTATTTTTAAGAAATCATGACTTACATTAAAGAAAGCTGGTGGCTTACAACAGGAGGAGCTTTAAATAATGGCTGCTATTATGGGCAGGAGTAACATTTAGAAATGTGCGAGAAGTACTGTATACATCTGGATTTGTTTACAATGAGAGATTTCACCTTAATATATCCTCTTGAAGTTAGACCGAAGTGTTTACTGAGTTGAGATTTTAAATTTATGCTTGACTTGTTTCCTGAAATCCTGCAGTCCAGCTGCAGTGTTTCATCACCAAGAGTAGTGTTCTGTTGCTGAGCTATAGTAATTCCTTACAAATTCCTTACATTTCTTTCTTTTACCTTTTTTTTTTTTTTTTTTTTTGAGTGGTGAAAGGCACTTACTTTCCTCACTACTGCTTATGGTTATCTTCTCACATCTGACCAGACTGTGACCCTTTGTAAGGGCTTGTATTAGAAGCAGTCAGAAGATGGAGGAAATCCTACTCTACAGGTCAACAGCTTACAATTACAAAAGCTGTATTTAGGACTTGGAAGACACACTCCTCCCCAGTCTTAATGCATTTTCTTTTCGTGTGTCCTGTGAAATATGAATTCTCAGCCCCTATATGTTCCTAAGAATATTTCTACCTTTGCTTCTTAGGCACATACTGTAAGTGAAGGGCATGGGGAGGTGGAACAGTAGCTGGATCTGTCATTTACGTGTATCTGTTGGTACCCGGTCTGAGTCCGCAAGCAACCTTAATAATATGGTGGGTTGTGTTATGAAGCCTTTTTACTGAAGTTGGCTCCTGGAACTGGTATTTGAAGTCGGCAGTCTGTGATCTTCTCAGTCTGAAAATCTGTGTAGAGGATGTGGACACAAACTGTTAACTGGACATTTCAATGTTCAGAACAACAGCAGACAGCATTGGCTAGCTAAGAAAAGATTTCCTAGACATTTTTGTTTGGTTTAAACTCATTAATCATTAGGGTTATTTTCATTTCTATTTTCTATTCCAGTTTGTTCCAAAACTTTTTTTGTGCTGCAATTGCATTTTGTTTGCTTTCAAAATCTGACATGTTTTTCTAAACAAAATGTCAGAATCTGTCCATGACTGCACTTTACCACCAGCATTTTCGGAGGATTGTAGCTACTTCTTACAGTTGCGTAGAACAATGGAGCTCTAATTTGAATTGGTCTTTGTGATTCTGCTTTAGTATTATAATCAACCACAGGCTTTCACATTCATTGGCAGAATTTAGTCCTGACATTATTGCCTTTGTCAGTATTTTTCTCCTAGGGGTTGCTTTATAAATCTAATAAACATTTGACATAATACTCTTGAACTTATAATGTCTGCTGTGCTTTGAAATAAAAGTCTGATGATGATGATGCATGAATCCATATTTGCAGCCCAAATTGTCTGTATACTTGACATCTTCTAATGCAGAAACACATTCTGTGAGGGGTGTTGGTCATGTGCTTGAGATTTATTATTCTAATGATCATCCACATAGACTGTGCTGATCGTTTCAGTGTCTGATGGATCACAAAATGAAGAACAGCTTTGCAGTTGGCTTCTAATGCGTTTCCACAAATGAATATAAAGCATCTTAGTTAACATTCTCTTTTTGAATGATAATTTTTAATTCTTCAAACATCTCATTTTCAAGTGATGACTGGAAATGCTACAAACTGAGAAGACTCTACTTCATCTGGGTATGCAGGGACGTCGAATCTTTCCGCTGGTTTGCAGATTTGATCTGTATGCTGCATAACAAGGTAATAGGTGTTGCTTGGAAGGATACTGATAGTGTAATAAATGCAAGATTTGTTCACTCTACAGCTGGCATGCTATAGAGAAAGCAGGCAAACTCCAGCTTTGCCTGGACTACCTGACCCACACTCCATTGTGCTACACAAAGCAGTTTGAGTATATCTCACTAGTATTTCATTGCACATTATTGCTGGAGAATTATCTGTGAAATTTATGAGATAGAATAAGAACATGCCAAGTTGGGAGTCTGAGTGTCTTTTGCCTTTTGGTTCATACACAGATTGAGAAGGGAGAGGGTTTTACAATTTCAAGTGGATTTTAAAAGCATTGTAAGCTTTCTAAAATAGTACTTTGTTCACAGCCTGATGGGCAGCATTCTGGATTGCACAAAGGGGTGTATGCAAGCACTTCTTCATTAAAAACTTCACTGATGCTGAAACTTCAGTCTAGCAAGATAGTAGTCACAAGTTACTTTATACTTACATTAAAAGAAAGGGTATTATTTCACTAGCTGTTTTTATCATCCTCCCAGCTCTGGCAAGAGAATCGACCAGACTATATAAACATCCAGCTGTACCTCAGTCAAACAGATGGAATACAGGTATGTGGCTAAAAACTGTTTGTAAACCAAACTAGACCTTGGGGTAGCAGACAATGCAAACTGTCACTCATATGCAAAAGAGAGTTACTGCAGATGGCCAAAACAGGAAATGAGGCTATAATCTCTAGTGATTGATTCATTAGTAGGGCAGGAGAGCAAGTTCCTCCACACCGCATTAAGAGAATCTAGTCTAGTAGTCTTAACTTGATTATATGTGGGCAAAAATCCATATCTTCCTTTTCTAGGAAAGAGGTCCTTCCAGGCCAGGCCACAGACCAGACATTTGGCAGGGTTTGATGGGAAATCTGCATCATTGCTGGGCTAAGAATCAAAGCAGGATAGTTGTAGGAGTGTGGAGGCTTAAATCTCCTTCTGAACTAAATATTTTGAGAGAAGCTAGCTACTTTTGAAAGCTTCTGATCATTTTTGTCTGAGATAGAAAAGTTACAAATTCTTTGATGCGTGAGACTGAAAATTATACTGAACTGTCAATTGTCATACTATAAACCACAGAACAGTGCTCATTCCTCTACTCCTGTAATCTCCCATAGCTCTTTATGCTTATGATCTTCATTTTACATTATTCAGCACGTAATCCTGAGCTTGATTGTACTGCATCTGGAAGCTTCGCCATTCACTGCCACAGGCTCAGGAGTGAGCCTGACAATTACTGCAAAACATGAAATGCAGTGAGAAACCATGCCCAGAGAATTTTGATCTACCTGGTATCAGGTAGAGGCAGAATAATATTTACAGCTCCAGCAAAGGCACTTCTCAATAGTTTAGATAATGTGATAGCTACAGCAGTTATGAACAGTGTTCCACAGATTTAATGCCTGGATGACATGTCATCTTGAATGGAGTGCTTGAAAATAACCTAATTGTGAACCTGGTAAGCAGTAAGGTTAAAATTAAAACTTGAAGCAGGATTGTGTGGCAATCACGCAAGATTGTAGTAACAGACAATTCAATGTAAGTTTTCTAATATTCTGTGAAGCAGATTCTAAATTTATTATTTAAGTCAACTTTGTTTTAAGTCTTTCTTTAAAGTCACTTTTCTTTTGTGGCTGTTGAACAAAGCTGGCATGAACTATAATGCTGCTCATGATTTCTCAGGGGAGTGTTAAACTCTACTCTCCATTGTCTTACAGCTTATGTGTTCACTGAAGTCATTCCAAGTACTGACTGCTACCAAAATGAGGGCAGTTTCATTTCATGCTCCCTTTGCTCAGGAGTAGTATGCCAGTGTGTCAACAAGCAGTCAATTCCATCCTTCAGCAAATACCTCTTGAATATAAAAGGCCACTGGAGGATGAGTTGGCCAAGGCTGTATTTGCATTGGTGTGAGCCATGTTTCAAATCTTTCAGCAGTGGAGGGAATGTGGGAGCCTGTAGAAGATGTAATTCCCCTCTGCATTCCTACTGTAGTAGATCACAAAACCTAGGAAAGGTAATGCCCTGCAATAGAAGGGCATTTGACCTTGTAGAAGTGCTGGTGAGCTAGTGCTGCTGGAATGAGTTGGGTTTCACATGGGGACTGATTTTGGCTGTTTTCTACTGTTGAAGCAGCACAAAGCAGCTGGCAAATGACTCTCAGGGAGAAAAGTAAGATTTCCCTAGTTATTATTTCAGGCCTGGTCTTAATAGTTACTTGTACAAAGTGAAAAAAAACAAAACAACTCTGGGTGGAAATACGATTTTTGTATCAGCAGTGTTTCTTCCAGCTAAGCATTAAAGGCCAATGAGGGAATGAATAATAGGAGCATAGTTATTGTTTTATGGTTCAAATAAATTGGTTTAAAAATAATGAGTAGATTAATGAGCAGCTGCATGAGGAACAGTGTATAGCAAACACCAAGGAGACCCATTGAAAAGGCAGTGAGCAGAGGTATTGATGCATGAAATAACTCCAATTTTAATCACAACTGTCTGATACTTGTGTTCAAGTTTTACACCTCATCGATATGGTAGGTTGGCAGTGTCAGAAATGGGAGCCCTGGGTGATATGAGGCAATCTGCAAATCAGGCAGTATGGAATTTTTCTTTTCTTGCAGAAAATAATTGGAGAAAAGTATCAAGCCCTAAACTCAAGGCTTTTGATTGGACGACCCCGGTGGAAACTCCTTTTTGATGAAATAGCGAAGTATAACAGGAGGTGAGTACCATTCTTCTTCTAGGATGCCACAGTCTGAAGGATTGGGATATTAGGTCTTTGCAGCTTTGTTTGTATGAAAATGTTTTTTGAGTTTTATCTTAGAGTGTAATGTTCAAGGTGGTAATGTTGAAATTAGCCACTATTTTGCTGTGAGAGATAGCCTGCACAAACTGAAATATGGGTCAGGGCAATCCTGAGCACGAATACAGGCTGGGCAGAAGTTGTATTGAAAGGAACCCTGATATTGTGGGTGCTAATGGACAAGAAGTTCAACCTGACAGGGCAAAGTGAACTTACAGCCTAGAAAGCCAACTGTATCCTGGGCTGCAGTAAAAGTAGTGTGGCCAGCAGTTCAGGTAGGTGATTGTCCCCTTCTGTTCTTTCCTCTTGAGACCTCACCTGCAGTAATGCATCCAGGACAGCACAAGAAGGATGTGGAGCTGTTGGAGCAAGTTCAGAGAAGAGCTATGAAGATGCTCAGAAGGCTGGAGCATCTCTCCTATGAAGACAGGCTGAGGGAGCTGGGCAAGACCTCAGTGTGGCCTTCCAATACCTAAAGGATCCCACAGAAAAGTTGGGAAGGGACTCTTTGTCAGAGAGAGGTGAAAGGAAAAGGGGTAACAATTTTCATCCAGATAGTGAGATATAAGGAAGAAATTATTCACTGTAAGAATGCAGTGAGGCACTGGAACAGGTTGCCCAGATGAGCTATAAATACTCCATTCCCAGAGGTGTTTGAGGCCAATTTGGATGGGGCTGTGGGCAACTTGATTTAATAGGACATATCCCTGTACATGGAAGGCAGTTATAACTGGATGATTATAAGGGCCCTTTCAACCCAAACTTTTCTGTGAATTTTTGATTTTTTAAAAACTCAAAATAATTCATCTTTTTATGCAGGTATTTCATGCAGATATTCAGTGGCCCAAAAAATAATACTGGTAGATTTCCATCTCACTTCACAGAGGTTGTGTATTCTTTATCCACTACATATCTTGCTTGCAACATAGAATTTTTTTACTATAATTTCTGTGATTTATAGCACTGGATTACAAAAAAATAAATGGCACAAGAAGGACTCTGACTGCCCTGTATTGTTTTTATTCTGAGGATATATAGTCTTTAGGGATTTCTGACTCTTCTTTATTCTTTGTTAAGACCTGGCAATGCCTCTTTACTGTTCTATAGTTCAGTCTAAAACAAGACAATTGTAAACCAAGAAGACATGCATTTAGACCATGGAATATATTTTCCAGATACAGCTTTATTGATTGGTTATGTTACATCCTACTGACAGTTTTCTCCCTCAAAGGTTGGTTTCAAAGAAAAGATCACACGAGTTTGCCCTATTCTACTTCTTTCAAAGTCAGTAGGGTAGAAGCAGGCTACCTGCAGTAGCTGTCGAAGGAAATCTTGGTACACCAGTGTGAGAGGTACTCTCCTAGTCTCATTCTCTCACGTCAAAAAGATTTTGTCTTCTGTTTCACTTCTGACCTGTTGCCCACAGCTTATTGATTCTTCTGGGGCTGAATATGAGTATGGAATATTGAACCTTGTGTCTTGAGTAATATTAAGTAACCTGTATGTTACGCTGTTGGTAATGAATAAGGTGCTGCTGATACGTACCTTGGATTCACATCCTAGAGGAAGGATGTTGCAGAAAGGGTTCCTTGCCCAGAGTGCCTCAAAGACTGCTGCAGAGCAGGTGAATACCACTTCAGTGGGGTTTTGTAGTAAAGATCCATGGGAAGGAAAGCTAAATAGAGAGGGCAGAAAAGCAAGCTGGCTTTCTCTCAGGCTCCTGTATAAAGAATTGTTACCCTTTTCTAGTACATTCTAGTATCTTTTTTTGTTTAACGGTGCAAACCAAGTTTTATAAAATAAAAATGGAAATGGTGATGCTTCTGCCACTTCCTTGCAAGGCTGCAATTGCACATAATATGGATGAAGCTTTTAGTGGTAGTCCTACTTGCTTTTTCTTTTGTGCTTTCTATTGTGTTATATGTAATTAGACCTTCAAGTGCCATTTGCTCTGCATTTTCAGTCAGGTCTTTGAATTGTGCCACCATTTCTCAGTGAGATGTCTTTCATTTCCTAAATAATGTTCTGTGTATTTTGATTATCCTGCAGCTGTCTGAGATGTAGGCTCTCACTATCTGTCATCCCTTTACCACAATTTATAGATACAGGTAGTTCTTTATAGATACAGTTACCTGTATGCTGATATATGACATCTAGATGATAGATAGTACAACCTGTAACTCAGTATCCCACAGATATTCAGATGTTAGAGATGAATGTTCTCTCTTTTTCCCTGAACAAGACAGGGACTTCCATTTTTCTCTGTAGTCTAAGTCTTCCAATTTTCTAGTCTCCTACTAACTTTATTCCAGTTCCTATTATTCCACCTAAACAACCCTGGTACAATATGGATACCAACAGAAAGAAGCTGGGCAACCAAGGTTTTTCCAGCATCTGGTGCAGTGTTCAGATGTTCACGTGCATTTGTAATCAACCCCTGGGGTTTGTTTTTTTAAGGGCAGCCAAGAAGGCAAGATATTTTCCATTTTTTATCTTGTGATTTTAGTAAAAGCTGTGCATAAATAAACACACAGCTGGCAAGCCTCTCATCAGTTTAACCATCTGATTGCTTTGTGGTTTGTGGATTGTTGCTGTTGTTGCTGTTTGAGTCCCAAATAGTCAAAGTGCATTTGTAAGTGTGAGCTCTGCCAGAGCTTCAGAGCATGACATTGGTCAACCCAGCATCAGGTTCCTAACTCTTTCCTCTGAAAAAAGCAGGGCAGACTCATGCCATCTACTGTTGATATTTTATATGACATCTGCAGTCCCAAAGATGCACACTGGGACTTTATGTAATAAATTATTAGTCTTCTTTTTCTTGCTTTTTTTCCTAGGACAGAGCAGCACTTGTTTCTTGTCAGTTGTAGCCTGAGTGCAAAGCTTACACCATGCCAGTGTTGCTGTACTTTCTTAGCTTTGTTCAGTTCAAGTAGATTTTTTGAGATGGTGTCTGACCTAGAAAATGATATAAATATCCATAAGAAAGGAAGGCATGGAGCACCACAGTACGTTTCCCATGCACTATGAAGAAGATATTCCTCTCTATGAGTGAATATGGAATTAAAAAACTGGAATATCTCAACTCTGAGTCTGTCGTCTTTTAAGTAGCAAAGTATTTCAGTTTTCTCTGCAAGTAGGGACGTGGTGGGCATAAGTAGGGCAGAATGTGGGGGGTGAATTGTGGGAGGTAAGTGGTACATGGAGTGATGCACAGAATAGCCATCAAGGGGGGTATTCCTGGGAATCCCTGGGGCAAAGGAATTAGTGTTTCTGGAGACCTTGTGAGTCAACCACAGATCTCTTGTGTTACCTTAGACAAATCACTTCACTTTTCTGCGACTCTGTTTACCCTCCAGTAATTCTGTTTACTTTGGAAGGATGTTGCTGGGATGGGGGTACATTAGCAGAATATGCTGCTTAGACATTTCTACACTGCTTAGATATGTCTATGCTTAAGGAGGTATGTATGAATGAAAATGAAAGGGAGAAAAGCGGATGAATTCTGGGTTTTATTCAGCAGTTGTCTATACTAATTAGACTAATGAAAACAATAACATTCAGTCAAATGCACAGTAGGAAACAGATTCTTTCTGGCAGCTTGCACACCCTTTTTTTTTTTCTCTGTGCACAGAACAGAGGATGTTCAGATTCTTCTAGTGGAATTTTGTTTGAGAACAAGTAGTAGCATTCTCATTATTTCTGCAAATCCAGCCACCAGCGCAACATCCTTTGCCATTAAAAGAAGCTCTGCCAGGGTAGAAGAATTTAGTATATACACATAGGAATGAGAAAAAAAAAGTGTTATGAATATTTGCCATGGCTTGCTATGAGAGCATTGTAAGGTGCCTGCACAATGACACAGTTGCTGTTACCTCTGTAACTTTGTGATGCTTTTTGATGTCTGAGTCCTCAGATGTGCTAAGCCAGTGTTTGTATTCAGTTATACAGCATGGACTGCTGTGCTTTTTGGGCTGCTGCTTAACGTTGAGCACATACACTTGGCAGTATGCATCCAAGATTTCTTTTTCTGTACATTAATTTTCTGATTCTCTCACCAAATACATATACAGGCACCATTAAAATGTGCATTTGAGTATCCTTGTGTGCTAAGATATGTTATATTAGTCACTGGACAAAATACTAAAGTAGTCCTGAGGCAAGGAGCAGAATTCAAGTCTCCAGCCTCCTGGCGAATGCTGTAAATCTTAATAGAGCCATATTCCCTTTTGTGTTCTCTCTCCATCCCAGTAAATCTTACAGAATTTTCCGTGCAGTGCCACAATCTCAGCAGGAAGATGAAGAATTTCTTTTAATAATATAGAAGAGACAGCACTGTGTCATCTTTCTCTGCTCCATCCATACTTTCTTCATCTGTAAAAAAAAGGAGGTGATGAATATCATGAGTGGCTCAGTCCTGCTGTTGTATACACGCCTTGTTCTTCTGCCTTGAGCCCTTAAAGGTAGTGTGACCATGAGTCTGACTTCAAGTCTGTGTTTAAGGTGACCAGAGAGCAAAGTGGTGATGTCAGTGGAGTGGTATGTAAAAGTTGGTTAAGTAATGGACCTGATCTGTTAGCTATTGATGATGAACAAAGGTCTTATTCTTTTCTGGCTTTTCACGAGGCTTTCCTATGCAGCTCATGGAAGAAAGACTGCATGATAGTGTGAAATGAATGCAGTAAAGTTATCCTGCTACTGCCAGAAATAATCACGGGTTAGTAGTGCTCTACTTTCACAAGTGTAACAAATCATCACTAGTGGCTAGTTCTCCTGCCAGTGTAAATCACAAGTTACAATAAGGAAATCGTTACGATGAGACACGATAACAAAAAAAAAGTTACTAATTATAGAAAAAATGAGAGTGGGATGTATTAGTTTTTTGGTGCTTGGTATCTTAAGGCTAAGATGATGTACTTTTTTGCAAGAGTTGTCATTGTCAAAATATGTAACAGAGTTTGATGCTAGGATAGTGGCTTCTTTAATATGAATTACATGACCTTGTGAGCTGTTTTCACCCTGAAATCTTTGCACAGTCTTGGGCATTTGTATAATACAGCGAGACTTGAATCCAGTTCTGTCAGTTGTCATAAGTCACTGCTTATTGGCAAAGTTATAACTTTTTTCTTTTTTTTTTAACAGGAAAACCATTGGAGTTTTCTGTTGTGGACCAAGCAAGATGTCTAAGATACTTCATAAACTGAGCAACAGCAGCAACCCTTACGGGACGAGGTTTGAGTATAATAAAGAGTCCTTCAGCTGAAACTCTGTTGAACTTGGAAGAATCTCCAGAAGATAAAAGTGCAATTTTTTGTTTGTACAACTTTAAAGTTCCACTGTGGTTTAAACAGAAATGTACCAAAGAGTAGCACAGTTTTTCTTATTTATGATTATTTAAGACTCTGGAAAATGATGGATATGGCAGTATACCAACAAATATTAAGTGCTCATGCTCAAAGCCAAATGTGCTCTCACAGTATTTGTGGCAGTGGCAATTCTTTGGAATTGTTTCTGTTAATTAAAAAGTACTAATGCTGGGGAGAAATGCAGTTGCTTTAAAAGCCAGTGGAAGAAAAATCTGTGGAATGTTCTTCCACTTCAATCTTCTGAAGTTGGATCAGTAAACAAAAGCCCAGGTTAATCCAAATGACAAGTCATAGGGCATTTCAAAGAACTATTGCTTTTGTTGGTACATAGACCTTGTGAGTTTGGAGTGGAGACACTCCATATTCAAGGTTTTATGCATTACAGAACTGAGATTCTGTATTTCAAATATACTCTGTAACGGGTGTCCATATTCCCACTTTGAATAGAAAACAGAGGGAATTTAGGGGAAGATGTAAATCAACGTAAGGAAAAGTGAGCACAACAGCCCTAGCACCTTTGGGCAGACCCAGCCATGATGTATATCACAGCCTTTTGGCAAGGAAACAGCTGTACCTGGAAAACTCAGAATCTAGCATCAATTCAGCATTCAGTGAGTTTGCAAAATAAGTGTAATTTATGCAGCCAGAAAGATGGAGCAAGAAAAGCGATTAACAGGAGGAGACAGGATATGATGTTTTATTATTCCACAAGCTCAGTGTGGAAGTTGCACTCACTTTGCACTCACATGCCCTGAATGTCAAATACTTACAGCATTCAGATGTTCTTAGTGATTAATGTACAATGCAGCAGGCTGAAATCCTATTTTAGAAGTTGCAGAGTGTCTTTGGTTGACTGCGGTCCTTTGACTACCATTGCTGGAGTCATGCTTGTTGTTCAGTCTTACTGATCTCTTGTTTGTTCAGTCCTGTTGGTGTCCCTGAATGCAGCATTAGTCCAGATCTGCAGCAGGGCAGGAGTAAAGCTTTCTTTACTGTGGCTCTTTACATCTTGTGTACAGTTATAAACTTTGCAGGATATGCAGTGTGTTTTCAGTGTGTTCTAAAAGGGAGGTCTGAAACATCCAAATTTAAACTCTTCTTCCCTTCTCATTACCACAGCTGCTTTCCTGACTTCTCATAGTTGCTATGAGGTTGAAACGGATACTTTAAAACTTTTTGATTCAGAGTAGCAGCATTTTACTTACTCAAATCACTAGCCAAACCAATTTCCTCTTATTTTCTCTTGATCTTTTTTCTCTTATTTTGCCAAGAAAGGGACATTTAAGCTGGAGTCAGACAAGTAGTTCGTGTAAATAGGCCTCATTCTAGAGCATCTTAATACAACAGCATTGCTTTACACTTGCTGAAAACCTGGCTCTTCTGCAGCAGCTCAGGAACAAAGCCCGTAGTGTCTGCAGCATGTGCAGGTGTATGATTGCTCAGCATCCCTCATAGCACAGCTCACCTGTATTTAGTACAGTATATTTGATTCAGCATAGAGATCTCCAATGCATGCATTTTTCAATCTAGTAAAAACAAATCAGTAATTTCTCACAGCGCAGGTTCTATACAGGATTCTTCAAGTATTGGTTTCAGCGAACAGAGGCAAGGTTTTCTCTGGTAGGTGGTGTTGTGGCATGTTGTATGTGTAACTAGTGAACGTGATTTGGTCTTTGCCATGGCAGTTTCTGCTCAGGAGTTGCTCTAAATGGTGCAGCTGGATGCCATGCAGCAGCACAGCCCCATAGGGATGTTTCTTACTGCCTGGACTTTGCACTGATGTTCTTGCTTCTGGCTCTGCTCAATTGGAAATTCAGGAGGGAAGGAAAGAGCCAGATGGACTAATTTCTACTGATGAGAATTCTTTAAGTAGCCTAGAGGAGAGAGAACCCAAAAATGGAATGTGAGATGGAAGCCTACATTGCAGTTTGTGACTTTATTTTATTTTTATTTTTTAAGTCTGCATCATTATTTTCCCATTGGATCTCCTTCATCTTGTCCCTATAAACAAGAGGTATGCAGAAAAGTACCAGTTCTTCTTTAATTATTAATATTTTTTCTTATACTTTCTGCATGGATTTCATAATAAGCACAACACTAATGGCAAAATGCATAATCAGATATTGCCTGCATTTTTTGTTTGTTTGCTGTTAGCTTAAAGCATGATTGAAATCATGACTGTGATTGAAATCACGACTCCATTTGTTAACCACAGCCACACGGTGATCATTTTTCTCTTGTTTTAGTACCTAGCATCTAAAGATTTTAAAATATGGTATAGAGTCTTCTAATCTCAACGATGTTCTTTGTGGTTTCACATCTTCTCTGATAGCTACCAGTTCCCTTACTGCATAACGAGCAGTTAGTTTTGTAGCAAGCTCTGCGCTAATACAGATTATACTTTCTGGCTCAGCTCTTACGTAGGTAGTGCTTTATAATTAATAATAGCACTGTGCTCTTGTGCTGAATTCTAGCAGGAGTTGACACTGTGTGGAGGAATGTTATCCCCTTTTGTTACATTAGCAGTGCTGTCAGAGCAAGAAGCTGGCAGAGTCTCTGTCCTATGCCAAGCTCAGCTGGCCCCAGTTGACAGGCCAAGGAGTGTGTACCTGTCTGGAGAGTTGTGAGATGTAATTAATGTTACAGTATCCTTCAGTGCACCTCTAGCAGTTTTCTGTAGTTGCTATTGAGCTGTATTTGTATTATGTTTTTTGTAATTTCTTTCATTTGACTGAACCTTTCTGTTGCTCACATGGGTATTACTAGACTGGATGAGCGTGGGTCTGGTGAAAAGTTAAAATTTCAGTTGCTTTTTTTCCTTTTCTTTGCACTGTGCTCTTCAGAGAAGCAGAAAGTTTAAGGGTGAGTGACTTGACTTGGCTTCAGGAGTGGCAAATGTTATTTATACAGGCAGTTATTCTCCTTGCTGCTTTGTAGTGTTTCACTTTAGCTTGCAAAACCAGGCTGAGCTTGCTTTTAAACTACATACAGTTTTTATCTGTACACCAAATGTACATGAAAATATAACTCTTTGCCAGGCAAGTAAATGAAGGCTGGCAGCACTTAATTCTACTTTTACTGTTCAATGGGATTTATGCTATTTAATGTCTCTTTACATGTTACATTTGTGTCCTGGGAGTGAGTCTGCCATAAGCTTCCTGCTGACAGGGGAAGAATCCCACCATGTATTGTGCTACTTCTTGCTCACTCGTCCCAAAGCTACAGACCCTCAGTGGCATCTTTGTGTTTTGTTCATCATAAATGTTTTGGGACTTTTATTTAAAACAGGACTGTTTTCATGCCGTGATCGAAGCCAAACGCTTTCTCTGCAAAGAAAGCCCAGCAGTGTGAGAGCTGGAGCTCTGTACAGCTGGATTCATCAGATTTCCCCAGGCAGTCCTGGTCCCACAGCACTAAGCTCGCCTGTCTGAGTAAGTGTTTGCTGCCATAGTGAAGGGCTGCAGAGATGAGCCATGGGAAGTAGTCTGCACTCCACTCGATTTCTCCAGGGTGGTTATTCCAGCCCTGAGTTTGGAGTCACTTCGCCTTGCAACCCTGTTTCTGCTTAGATTACTCAGTGTACATGATTTCTTCCTTGTCCTTTTATCTGCTCTTCTAGGAGACAGGATTAGAAGGACTGTGAGAGATCCCTGTGCACATCCTTGAACCTAGGCTGAGGAGAGGAGAGCAGGATGTACCACAGCCCCCCTGCTGCTGACTGTACTGCTTAGCGCACTGGTAGGAAAGTTAAGCCAAATCTGCTTTCCAACAAAACATGTATTGTTCTGCCACACCAAACTAGAGAACAGTTGCTGTGAAAGGAAAAAAAAATAAATCCTTTCTGCCCACATAAGCCTGATGTGAAGACATATGGAAACACTGCACACATTCAGCTTTCACCAGCACCGGTGGTCACACACTGCATCCCTACATGGTCTCTCTGCCTCAGCACTCAAGTCCCATCATTATTCTTTGTTGCAGGTCTTCACCTGTTATTGTAGACTCACAGAATTGTAATCTCACTAAGTTTGGAAAAATCCTCTAAGATCATCTACTCCAGCTGTCCATCTACCATTAATATTGCTCACTAAACCATAAGTACCACATCTGCACATTTCTTGAACATGTCCAGGGACAGTAACTCTACTACTTCCCTAGGCATCTTGTTCTAGTGCCCAACCACTTTTTTGGTGACCTTGCTTTTGCTGATATGCAACCTGAACCACTCCTGGTGCAACTTGACACCATTAATCTTGCAGAGAGAGAAGTGCTACATATGCTTGCATGCACGCAGAGGCTGGTATAAACTCAGAGCAGCTCGTGAGCAATCTCTACAGCCAGGTGCAGAGTTGTCCTTTTGCTTCTAATGCCTCTAGCACAGAAGTAAGGAAGCAGTTTGGAGCTTACTGTAAAGGTGCAGATAATATGAGTGGTAGGCTGGCCTCTTGGGAAGTGGTAATTGAGCTGTAAAAGCCTAACAAATCCAAGAAGCAGCCTAAGAGAAAAGCCTCTGCTCAACACTGCACACCAGGCTGTAGTTTCAAACTACAAGACATTGCTTACAAAAGCCAGCAGGAGGCTAACTAGTCATTGTCAGTAGGAGTCTGAGCCCCTTAAGTCAGAGCAAAGTTATTAAAATGCAGAGTTTACTTGTTTAAAAAATAAAAGGGCTTCTAGGGAGATTAATTTTCACTTCAGTCTGGCAATCATTTCATAAACATGCCAGTGTGATTTAAGGCAAGCTGGATCTGTTCTTCTCTGGATTATGCATCTGATTTGTCTGCAGATTTCCCACCCCTCACAAATAAAAACAGTTTTATTGTTTTAACAAAGAGGATTTTAAAGCAAAGTTTAATCAAAATGCCACTGGCACCCGTGCTGAACTGAGCTTTTCTGTAATGAACGTACATTTATCAGGGGTATAAAGAAAACAGCTGAGGACTCAACTCTGAATGGTTATTTGGAGTTTGAGTCATCTCTGCTGTTGGTGTATTTCATTAAGACCACTGTGATAATGCACTGGTGAAACACATGGAGCTGAAATGAGACTTTTCATTCCCATAAAGAGATTGTTCCTGTACTAAGCAAGTAAATTCCAGAAAGTCTGGAATTTCCTTTATAGGAACCCTGTGTCCTCTGCTAGACTGGCACGTACAATGAATGCACCAGATTTTGAGCAACAAATGCTTCTTCAAGAGCTGTTTGAGTATTTGAGATTTCTCATTCTGCTAATTGCATCACCCTTGTTGTCGGAGGTAGGGGGTATGTTTTCATCCTGTGGAATGCTGTGCACTATCTCTGAGGTTATGAATAGCTCTAAACTTCACTGCAGTGAATGCTCAAGCTTTGCAGTGTCTGAAGCATTATATTGTCTCAAAGGATCATATCATGGAGACATGGTTTAGTGGGCATGGTTGGGCTAGATGATCTTTGAGGTCTTTTCCACCTTGATGATGCTATGGTTCTATTTGTATGCTGTAAAAATAGCTAAGGATCTGCTCCATTCTTTTGGAGATACAAGGAGAATGCTGGAGAAATCAACCCATCCCAATTGCAGATTGCTTCTTAACAGAGTCCTTTGATTTCAGGGTGTGTCATACCTTGTGAAAAATTCTATTAGGTATTTTAAGTGCCTCTTTCTGGCAAAAGTCTGGCTGTCCTACAGCCCCAAATCTGCACCTTCTTCCTAATGATCTGCACTGTTACACCAGGAGAGGGGGATCTGTGAGTAGCTGTCAGCTGAGGAGCAAACTGAGGCAGGCAGGGGAGGATGACGAATTCCAGCACGTGAACAGGTTCAAATATTTAGAACCTGGAAGCAAAGGGGAAGGTGGGAGACATTCTCCATGGCTCTTCAGTTCCAGAAATTAAAAGCAAGCACTACTGCCTGGATGTGGATGCTAATTCTCTCTGGGGTTTGAGAACTGTTGTATACAGAGATAGCCTTTCAATGCACAACTCAAAGCTAAAGCACAGAAGAAAACTAGTATATTTTAGTAAAACACCTTGGAAATAAAAGTAATTTACTTGAAATAAATTCACCATTGATTCCTTCTAGTTAACTTGCGTCAAAAAACATCTACTTCTATTTTGCAGCTTTGGGGTTTGAAATGGCTTTACCTCTTTTTCACCAGAATCATGGAGTATATATACTTCTCCATGCTAGCTGTAAGTAGCTTTGACAGTTCAATAAATACATTCTGTGTTCTTTACAGCTGACCCTAGGTAAGGACAGCCTTGAGGATGTGAAGCAGCGTTGCATAAATGTGTAGAGTACATAGCAACACTGAGAAGAGAGATGCTGCTGCATTGCTTTGGTGCACTAGACATACATTAAAATTCTGTCATTGCAAGGTCGCATTGCTCATCTCATACTCTACAACCCTGGATAAGAATGGAGGGTGGGGGAGGAAGAGCAGAAATTTCCACCTTGTGCTTTAGCTGAGAATATACTCATCAGCAGCATTTCTTTCTATTTCAAAAGAGCATGCTATTTCGTTTTTAGGGATACTGGTTTCCTGGTGCTGAGTAGTGGTGTTTGCATGTTAGTGGTAACATGTTACTTCTGAACTGAATAAATAACACCTCCGGGTCTTTTCTTCTCCCTTAAATTATCAAAGAGAAATACTTAATACCATAAAACATACAGAGTGGACTGTGCCCTAAGCTGCTCCCAGTGCAGCCTGGTTAGCACAGTATTGCACAGAAACTCTGCAAGCTGGTGGGAAGAAGGAAGGTTTAGGCAAAGAGGAAAGAACTTTTGAAGGAGAAGCACAACAGTAATATATCATTTGAAACCTGAAGCAGGCATGTCACAGCACTGGCCATCACATCTGAATGGTGCTGAGTCAGAAACCTACCCAACAAGTATACCTGGCAACAAGGAAAGTTCAGAGCTGTCCACAATGTGAAATGAAAGCAAATTAGGTGAGCCACCTGTTTGGTTTCCAGCTTTGAGCTTGGACCTGCCCTGTCTGAGAACTTCTTGTATAGATGATGAGGTGGTCTGACTCCCAAGTGTGGACTCAATTGTGTAGCTAACTGAGGGTATGTACATCCCCTTTGTATTTATATGGCTTTGCAAAAGCAAATTGCTCAGTGACTGGGGGCAGAGTATCTGTAGGGTTAGTTGCTCAAAATCCTGTTCTTTCCTGCTAAGCACAATGGCCTGACCAGATGAGGATGATGACTGCCAGTTTCCATTGGTAAATGAATATGGCCTGCCCATATTCACACTCATGTTCATGGGAAAAAAGGGAGAATCTGCAGAGAATATCTAAGTTCTTTGTTTTTCCTTTATTGTGTCAGAACAACATAATTAGCTGATGGAAGAGAAATGATTAAATTGGGAAGATTAATCCATGGTATTCTTTCTGATTCCTTAAATGCTTGTAACTATTCAAACTGTGCTTTTTGAGAGAAACTTAATGGACACAGTGCTCTCAAGCAGAGTTAAACAACACGGCTGAGATGCAGTGTGGCAAAGTGTCTCCTATTGACTGTGAAATATCATTGTCTGTTGAAGCTGGAGGCATCGGTGCTTCCATTAGTCCCAGTGTATTCCATGGAAAACTAGTGGGAGCTGAGCATTCAGCTATCCCATTTCCGCCCTGTATACCTCCAGTCTTCATCTGGGTTTGGTGCTGACCTTTAGATTACTGTAAGCCACCTTGTCCATATGTCACCGAATCACAGAATCACAAAATGGTTTGGGTTGGAAGGGGCATTTAAAGATCATCTAGTTTCCTTCTCTGCAGTCACTCCCCTCCCTCAACATCTTGTATGTGTCAGGAAACCCCCTCTGCTTCCCTTCACTCAGGAAAATGATACAATGGGAAATGCAGAGTTTATTTTATTCATAGCCATATTCATAGCCATAGCCACAGCCTAGTCTCCAGCCTTTATAATGCTCCTAATGTATCTGATCTAGTGAGAGTTATCTAGTCACCTTAAATAGCATTAGTTGAATGGATGCAGGATTCTAGCCCTGAAAATGCTTTTTTAGAATGGGAGGAGAGGCTGTGCCACAATGATGGGTAAATGGGAAAAACACAGAGTAGACAAGATTATATCATCTTCTGGATAAGAAATGGGAACCCATTTTGTGAAATTCAGACTGTGACCATCAGTGAAATTAAGTCATGTTTCTGCTTTCACACGTAGGCACTGCAAGACAGAGGTCAGTGATGGAAAGAGTTTGCTTCTTTCAATTACATTCTCTATTTTCATACAACTCCTAGTTTATCAGTGGCCCATAAATTCCTTCTTTCACTGATTAAATATTTCCTCACCTGATTTCTTTGCTTCAGGGAGCTTGAAAGCTCACTGTTCATAAAGGGAAAGAAGGATTATGCTGTTAAGCAGACAGCTCCCAACACATATGTTCTGCTCTGCATCTTTGAGGAGGCACTGGTGCTTCTACAACTCCAGAAGGGCAGTTTTATTGAGATTCAGAGGCAGCCAAGAGCCTCTTCCAGGATTTCGATGTTGATGAAGCTCTGGGTTAATTAATTAGCTTTTTTTTTTAATCAAGAAGCTTTAGCCCATCTGTGCGAGGCTGTGAAACCCGTAATGCTACTTAGCTTTTCTTTCCCTGTGTTCCTTTCAGTCATTTGCAAGAGCAAATTTGATGAAGCACATTTGGGTAAAGAAAGGTTTCCTGATCTGTGAGAATTTAGAGGAACTGTGACATGTCCCTCAAACTGAGAATCAAAGAGATAAATAGTTTGGGCCAGCTATATTTATTTCATAATGTGCAAATGGTTTTGTGCGTGGTTGTTTTTTGTGTTTTTTTTTTTTTTCTGGTTCTATTTTTATATTGTTTAAATAAATAAATTTTAGTTTCAGAGCAACAACAACAACAAAACAAAAAAAAAACCTTACATATATTTACTTAGAAAATATCATGATGCCCTAGACATATCTGTTTATTTTTAAAAATCCTTCCATGTTGCTTTGAAGGGGAGAAACTTCTGGAAGCCAACACTCTCCATATTCTACTTCAAGAAGCTATTATTTTCTAAAGGCAAAGCATTCTTTGTTAATTCCTTGCCTTCTCAGCCATTTTTCATTAGTGAAAAATGCTGTTCAAACCAAGCAATCTGAGCTTAGATAATCAAATGGTTTCCTTTTAAAGTAAAGCACTTGGAGGAGTTTGTCTGTCTGAGCCCTCAAGACAATGTCTGTGGCACATCTAGACTTGGGTGCTCAAGCCAGAAGTGAGCAGGCTGCCAAGGGCTTGCTGGTGTCCTGAGGGCAGGGAGCACATTGGGCATTTAGTCTTCAGCACAGGTTAGATTGTCTCATAATGGTGTATGAAGCCATGAGGATATTCAGTAGGAAGGGAGGAAGACCACTTTTTTTTATAGAGTAGGAGGGAGGAAGACCATTTTTATCTCATTTTGGGTAGCTGTTTGGGACTCATAAGCTGTGTGAGTTACACAGCTGGTCAGCGTCCAAGACTTTGGCTGTGCTGATACAATGATGCTCGCATGGGTGTCCTATGGAGGCCTTAGTCTGTGGTCCCAGTTGCTCAGAATGCATTCTCAGGAAAGACAATGGACTCTAGATGGAAATACTGCCATTACTAAAATTTGGAAAACACAGTAAATACTTTCAGCTTTCCAGTTTGCCTTTAGGAACTGAACCTTGGAAGTAGCTGTTTCCAATTTCATCTTTTCGGTAGATGCAGATATTGACTGCTTCACCACTGTCTGTTTTCCTTCCTTGTTCTTTTGCAGTTTTCCAAGTCCTAAAAGAAGGAGGGCTGAAAATTCCTGAATTTCCAATTCTGCAATTATATAATTTTCCTAGTTGACTGAAATAAAAGAATATTTTAAAAGAAGGCAGCATTTACTTTTATCTGTATACAGTATACACGGTAACAGTTTTAGAAAGTACTAGCATAAATGTCCACACTTTTGAGTACTCCGTGTTCTTTTCAGAGATGCCTGTTTACGTTAATGCAAATTCAATCTGTTCTTATGTTTTTATAGATCAAGATGTGGTATGGTTCTTTGAAGAGAAGTGATTGCTTAGTTTCCAAGTGGAACAGAAACCAAAATTTGGTCCTAAACTTTCATTTCTTATTTTTTTTCCCCAGGCTTGACTTCAAGAACAAGAACAGTGCTCAGTAGGTTCCTGTCATACTCTTGTCATATGAAATAGCCCTTTTGTAGCTTTGCTGACTTTGCTGACCCCCAACCTGACACAGGAAGAGTGTTTCACTGGCTCGATTTAAATAGGTCACTACAGTAAGTGCGTGCCAGTAGAACTTCAAAGAGTAAGCAATAAGCTTTTGGAGTCTGCTCATTCCCATCAAATGAAGCAAAGCTTTTATCAGTTAGATACATAACAAGGCTGAGCTAGAAGATTGATTATAAGAAGTCTTGTTGGGTTTTTTTTCTTTTCTTCTAAGTTCCATGTGGATTTTTTTTCCCATAGTGTCCATTTCTTAGGTACACAGTGTTGTGAGGGTATATGCAAGCTATTGGCTAACGGCGGGATCAGATAGAGAGAATTCCTGGGTGCTATTCCATGTTCTTACTAAATTTCCTTACAAACTCCTCTTAGGATTTTCAGTAATGTGATTACTCCAAGGTCACTGAGGTTTCAATGCCCAACTGCTTTAAGCTTCTTTCTAAAATCCCGTGTTTGGTTGGTTTTTGCCACGGTCACAATTGATGAAAAGTTTTATGAATCTGCCTGGCATCATGATCTATACCAAGTGTTTGTGAATCCCTAAATAAGTTACTCTTTCCAATTTTGTTTAGCTTAATTGCAAGATCCTGGTTGCATTAAAGAAAAAGATGCTTAATTTCCAAAAATACCGAATTAGCCGTTTTATATTAATGGTACCCCTGCTAAGTAAATTACTTGGCTACTGAGTTCTTTTGCTGTTCAGATGTTATTTTTGCATTCTGTTGTATTAGCAGGACACCCTAACTTGAGTTTATGTCTTGTATAGTATCTGTAAAAGCACCATCCATTTATTCATCATGTAATTATAGCACTGTACTCTCAAGGTATTTGCTTTACAGGAAACTTCATGACTTTGGAATAAACAAGCATTCCAAGACTGAGCAAAACATGACTGAGTTGCTGTTTATTAGTTGGTTCTAATTAATGACGTACTGCTTTAATCATGGGAGCACTGTGTGTGCACATATGCGTATGTATTATGGCTGACAGGAGAGGCTGGGATTTCACTACTTAAACTGAGGCTGTTAACACCACTTGAAATGCCCTTAACCAGATGAAACATCCATACAGAGTTAGCAGAAGACCTGTTTGAATGGCAGTAGGAAGCCAGAAGTATCAAAATGCTGCTGGACATCCTTCTTTAGCCATCCAAAGTAATTTTCTGCATATTTTAGGCACATATTTACTTCGTATATCTTCTCTTGCAATTTCTGATAAATCCTTTTTTGAAATGAAGAACAGTGCCAAATACATTGCTTTTGTATCTTTGACTGTAAGACCATCTCAGAAGCAAAATGAATTTATTTCATTCCTTTTCAGTCATCTCTGTACCAGAGCTTAGCAGAACACCAGTCCCCTGCATTCTGCATCACGTCTTTGCCTGTTAGAGCACAATGGAAACAAAACAGCAACTGTCTGGCCCTAACACACTGGTATCAATGTTGAACAAAGTTCCCTCCCATTCCAGAAGTATGCAGAAATCCTTCCCACTTACGATTAGCACTTAAGGTCCTGACTGAATGAAACATCATCTGGGCAATTTCTTTAGTTTGCTCAGACTAGCAAGGTGCTTTATTTTAAAGTATTTAAAGTGTTTTGTTTAAAGTACCTGCTCAGACAGTGTTGCTTTTGACAGAATGTATTGGAGAGCTGATATTTTGTCTTCAAGATACTGCTGATTCTGTAGCAAATCAGAAAGTGAGTTGTTTTAAAACTCGTACTTCCCAGTAATGCTAGAGGGCCTGCTGGTGCACTGATAACCAAGGCCTCCACTTGATTCATCTGCAAAGTGTTGAATGAACAACTAACCATCCACCTAATTGTTTCTGCATTGGCAGAATTGCTTTTTTTTTTTTTTTTCCCATGAAAATTCAATGTGAAACATGAATTATTTTGGTGAACCAAAATGCAGGTGTGCATACTTCTCTGAGGATTCAGAATGGCTGTCAACAATTCTGGTTCACTGGTTATTTTGGAGAAGTAAGGATACACAATTAAACTGCATATATCAATTTCCAGGTTGCGTTTGTTACATTCTCCTTCCAAACTGGTGTTGATACAGTGTTGGCAAAAGGTACCATCCTCCAAAATGAGAAGATTAACTGCAGCAAAATGAAAATACCCTGTAAATTCCTTCTCATTTATTTTTGTTATGATATAAACATGTAAGGAGGTTAGCACTGCCAGAAAAGTTCTTGAGCTGTGGAAACAGATAAAGTGTTAACACTTCAAATGGGGTCATTGAAATACTGGACAGTTACTGTAGAAAATTCTGATACTTTAAATTATGGTGTTTTTCATTTAGAAGAATATCTGTCCCCACTCACCTTCCCCTGGCCAAGTAATGAAGTTTGACAAAATGTGTTTTGGCTCATGAGCTTTGTTTTCCATGTGGTATTTGGAGACTTTTTATGGGAAATGATGCATTTCACAAATGCATTTGATCAAGAGAAAAGTCTCATTGTTTATACAAGAGTAGGTGAGGAGAATCACTAAAACTGGTTTATTATGACAAAACCTTGCTAAAAATGCTGAAACAAGAAAGGGAACTCTCCTTATACTGGACAGCAAGGTGGTACTGTGGTCTTCTGCTGTTATTCTAGCAAAAGTGAAAAACTGTTTCTTCTCTCTGCTTCAGTTCTGTATAGGTATCATTGATCATGATAAATTCTCAAAATCATGGTGTGCAGAAGGATGAGCAGCGAGTGCCCTTACAAACAGCTGAGCCTTTCTAGAGAGAAAAACAGCAGCAAAGGGCTGAGAGCAGCTGTCTGCCCAGTGCAGACACCAGACTTTCATGAATTTCAATTACTTGATGTACAAAGTCTCCTAAAGTAAATGAACACCTTTCTTGTATGACCACTAGGGAAATATGAAAGCCTTTGAAGACCTGCAGGGAGTCTGGTTCACCTGGCATGGATTTTTGCATTACAGCATACAAAATCTTTAGGTGTGAAATGACTCCTGCATCCTAAATAATCTCAGCCAGAAAATCAGCTGAAAAAAGAGTGCATGTTACAAAACTGAGAGCATCCAGGGAGCATATGCAAGTGGTCTCTTACCTGTTCCTTATCTGAACTCTGTGGTGAATGGATCAGTACCGCAGTGCTGGTCCGACCAGCCTCCTAAAAACTGAGAACATCCACCCATGCATTCCATGCATGGATTAAAAGCCTGTTTGGTGCACAGAACCTAGTGCTTAACCTTATATGTGCCCCAAAGATCTTTACATCCACTTGGATGTTGCAGGAGGGCTACAGAGCGGCACACCAGAATAACTTGTAATCAGTGCCACTTGGATTGTTTCCTGAAAACCCATCATCTCTTTCGTATCTGAGATGACTTAACATGATCTGCACTTTTCATCCGTTTTCTCTTTCCAACTCCTCCCAAATTTAATGCTTGTAAACATAATGGCTCCGTCATTTGTCATTACTCTTTATGATATCTTGTTTAACATAAGCATAAACATCAGTCTGAGCTTAATAACTGCACTTTCTAATCTGAAATTGTGCATTGTCAACTGATGACTGATGGTCTGAATAACCACCAACTTGTCCTGTCTGTCT